CAGAATTGTTGTAATTCAGCCACATTGGAGGGTTTTCGAGCATGAACCGCCTTTTTAAGGTCATGCCACAGCATATCAATCGGATTCAGGTCGGGACTTTGACTAGGCCACTCCAAAGTCTTCATTTTGTTTTTCTTAAGCCATTCAGAGATGGACTTGCTGGTGTGTTTTGGATCATTGTCCTGCTGCAGAACCCAAGTGCGCTTCAGCTTGAGGTCACGAACAGATGGCCAGACATTCTCCTTCAGGATTTTTTGGTAGACAGCAGAATTCATGGTTCCATTTATCACAGAAAGTCTTCCAGGTACTGAAGCAGCAAAACAGCCCCAGACCATCACACTACCACCACCATATTTTACTGTTGGTATGATGTTCCTTTTCTGAAATGCCGTGTTACTTTTACGCCAGATGTAATGGGACATACACCTTCCAAAAAGTTCAACTTTTGTCTCGTCAGTCCACAGAGTATTTTCCCAAAAGTCTTGGGGATCATCAAGATGTTTTCTGGCAAAACTGAGATGAGCCTTTATGTTCTTTTTGCTCAGCAGTGGTTTTTCGTCTTGGAACTCTGCCATGCAGGCCATTTTTGCCCAGTCTCTTTCTTATGGTGGAGTCATGAACACTGACCTTAATTGAGGCAAGTCAGGCCTGCAGTTCTTTGGATGTTGTTCTGGGGTCTTTTGTGACCTTTTGGATGAGTCGTCGCTGCGCTCTTGGGGTAATTTTGGTCGGCCGGCCACTCCTGGGAAGGTTCACCACTGTTCCATGTTTTCGCCATTTGTGGATAATGGCTCTCACTGTGGTTCGCTGGAGTCCCAAAGCTTTAGAAATGGCTTTGTAACCTTTTCCAGACTGATAGATCTCAATTACTTTGTTTCTCATTTGTTCCTGAATTTCTTTGGATCGCAGCATGATGTCTAGCTTTTGAGGATCTTTTGGTCTACCTCACTTTGTCAGGCAGGTCCTATTTAAGTGATTTCTTGATTGAGAACAGGTGTGGCAGTAATCAGGCCTGGGTGTGGCTAGAGAAATTGAACTCAGCTTTCCAAAGATGTGATAAACCACAGTTAATTTATGTTTTAACGGGGGGGCAATCATTTTTGCACACAGGGCCATGTAGGTTTGGATTTTTTTCCCCCCTTAATAATAAAAACCTTCATTTAAAAATTGCATTTTGTGTTTACTTGTGTAATCTTTGTCTCATATTTAAATTAGTTTGATGATCTGAAACATTTAAGTGTGACAAACATGCAAAAAAATAAGAAATCAGGAAGGGGGCAAACACTTTTTCACACAACTGTATGTCCTTGCCCTATCCTGTGTTTTGTGCGTTCTTTTGTTGCAAAAGTTCTGCATTTACAGTGGAAAAAACGATAGGAGGCCCACAGACACGAGTTACATAACTGGTCAAATAGATCCTATACCAATGTGTTAAAAATGTATGTTTTATATTTACAATCCAGCATTTTAGACCGTATCAGAGGCATTTCCGATACTGGTATTAAAACAACTCTATATGCAACATGTCCGCTCTTGAAACGGACATAAAAAACGTCCTGGCACATAACCTCTGAAAGGTCTTCGTCCAAAGCTATACAGCTCGTGTACTTCACGAATGTTCTACTTGGGAGATAACATTCATTGCAGCTGCTCGAATGACATTAAGTAATAATCTTCAAGTACATCTAGCACATATATAACATGATCTCACTTTCCTCAAGCGTCATCTGTTTTGGAGAAGACAGTGATAGTAATCTAAATACCCTGCCAAACTGGAAACAATAGTTATCTCAATATCGTTCAATTTTCCTTCAGACTTGAATTTTCCTGTTAATGTATTGAACCGGTACCGCAAGTTGAGACATAACTCGCAGCCAACATCGAAGTGGAACTCATTTGTTTGAGGTGCCTGCCAAGCCTCTCTTCAATAGACAATGCAAGTGGGACACCAGTGAGTCTTGAACCAGATGCTCCCCGGTGACCCCACACATGAAGCCTGACTCCCCGAGGCCTTCCCCGGCTATTTCAAAGCCTCGTCTGCGTCTGGCAGCTCTCCCTGGAGATCACACTGGGATTCAACAATTCTCACCCATGCGTTGTCGAGTCCCACTCTGTGTTTTACAGCAGGGCTGAGCCTGATCCTGTTATGCGCACACAAAATCCAAGTTTGTTCACTCCGCTATGGCAACCCCTCTGTGATCTTGTTATCCTACACTGTGTCATCTGTGCGACTTCAGACAAAAAACACAGTTAACCCCAGGGAGCTGTTCTGTCAGAGCCAAGTCTATTCTTATGTGTGAAAAATAAGGCAGTTGGCCCCATAGTTGAAAAAAAATGTCAGCCTAAAAGCAAGTTTGGACGTGTCCTTCTACTGCCCCAGCCCTTAACACTCTGAATGCGAGTCCTCTCTATTGTTTTACCTCATCTCTCATCTCTAGTTGAAAGCCGGCCCACTCCCCTGGCAGTGCGGTCTTATCTGCGATCAGAGCCGATCTGTTTATCACAGCAGCGACCACCACTTCACCCCAGGCCCTGACAACTTCTCATTAAGAGCCTTCTACGAGCTGCTGGGAGGGGTCCAGACTGCCGATCGTGTCGACACGACGAGCGTCTAGCATGCCACATTTCATCCCAAAACAACCGCTCACACTCCCTACACTCTTTGAACTCAGACGTCCTCTGGAGGTGCCGAATTTACGACGCCCCTCCAAAAGGGGCCGCCTCAAATAAAGCAGGGAGTGTCGTGAGGTGCAAGATCGGTCTCAAGTCGTAACGTTATTACCCTCCTGGTGTTTGCCGTTACGGGGTCATGCTCCCTCCAATGCAGATGATAGGATGAATTATTTCTTTGCCAGGTGCGAATTCAGGGACATGCTCAGTTGAATGACATGCTTCCTTACTCCCTCCAGGGAGTAGGGCTCAACAGGTAATTAAAAACAGGCCGGTTTTTGAAGGAGATTTGTTCTTTTGTGGGTGGTTGAGATAGCCTATGACCTTGCATCATACATGAACTGCAACTGGCAGGAGACAGACAGTAGCATGAGTAACGGCGTGAGTGCGCGGCTCTTGTTGACCCAAGGTTACGGCCTTCCTTTTAAGAGGTACATGTAAGATCCTTGAAAACGCAGCAGTGGGCAGCGCCTGAAGTTCACCCTGGGGGCCAACAACATGGCTCTAAAGAAAATATAAGAGAGTGCAGCAGCACAGTAACTCTGGCTATGCAATATGACTTTATGCTATAAGCTAAATATGAGAGGACAAATAGAGTGGAGTAATAGCTTTAACCAGCTTATTTTTTCTTTTTGGGCTGATCACTTATGTGAGTTCATAGCAATGTAGTTGGCCACAATGGTGTATGTGGGATTTAAGAAGAAAAACGCAGATTTATACACACAAAAGTCAAGCATTCAGCTCGCCTATTTCTTTAAATGTTTGTCGTTGCTTGTGCGAAGCTACAGCTGGGAACCAACTAGCCTATTTTAGCATTAATACTTAGAGCAAGAGGAAAGCCTTGTCAAAAGTAAACAAATATAGATAACCAGAAACTCTTCAGTTCACTATTGACACGTGTCTCATTTGTTCTACACAAACAGAAATGTAAGAATGTTTTAAAGGGAGTTACATGCTGTAGCTGGTTAAGGTCCCTTGTGACACAACCTTGAATTTTTTTAAATTTCTTTGTGAAAGAACAAAACAGCTGCGATAGTGTGTCAATTAATGAGCTTTTACAGTGCTCAATTTGAAAATGAGGATAGAATCTATGATCTATGATAGAAGACTCTACACTGCTCCCAACATGGCGACGGCTAAAGCTAACGGTGCTAAGGGGAGACACCGGTGGGTGGCCGCTACGCTATTCGACAACGCTGTGGGTCGGGACAGCTGTAACCGCTATACGAGACCAGAGCAGCGGCCATGAGCTAGCAAAAATAAACCAAAAGTTAAATCCCGTACAAACCAAATTGTGGACTCATTAAACTGTTGTATTGAATCCAGGCCTGCTCATTATTTGATGAGGTGCCAGAGATTACAGAAGGCAATTATCTGAACATAAGCCTACTTGACCATTAACTGTTTCATGTGTAAGATCAGTGTTATGGCTATATAAAAATATCATAAGTTCAAATACATAAAAAATTGTTGTTTTTCTTCTCCCTAATGAGCAAAATCGAGTCGAAATGAAAACTGTGAACCATTACACTTCTGTATCTTTATATTGCAAATAGTTGTTTGCTGCTCTATTAATGCTCTGAATTCCATATATAAAAGCTTTAAGGTACACACATTTTAATTTTAGGCTGCCTTCAAACATCTGGCCGGGGACAGCAGATGAAAACTCCTCTCTGGCTAACTCTGGCTCACTTACAGTTTGACTGTTGATTGGTGTGCATTGTCCTGCAAAATAAACAAACAAATAAAATAAAATATATAAGTATAGGCCTATTTTTAAGACCGATACAGGCTAGCTTTCAGCTTAAGCGCTAATCACTTCCTGGTTGTTGCTCCATTGGACACAATTGGGAGTGACTGTATCAAATCATTTTTGCTATGTCTCCCCAAGAACGTAACGTTAATAACGTTACATATACCCACCAATTTGTTGCGAACGACACTGACTGCAATGTCTGCCTAATGATTTCATAAATTTCTATTCTCAAAGACACTCATGGCTATGTTTATAGCCTTTGTTAGAATGTATTGTTGAGGCTACCTTTATTTTTCATTTAACATTTCATTAGCCTACATGTCATTTGTATTAACTTGTTCAACATGGCCAAGTCAAAAAGAATGTCCCCTCTGTAGGACAACAGTCTGTTGTGTATGTGTGGGCCGACCCAGCCAGCAGAGAGCCTGCTCTGCATTACTGAGTCCTGATGGGATCTCCTCCGGACTCTCCAGAAGTGGGGGAAAAACTTTTCGTACCTCCCCCTCTCTCTCTCCCTCCCTCCCTCCCTCCGCCTGCCCGATCCCAGCAGCGCTGCGATGGTCAAAAGATTCCCACTCGCGGCGCCCAGGAGGACCGGCAGCTCGCGGCTCTCTCCAGCCCATCAGTCCGCACACGACAAGGTAACGCAGACCGCTGTTTTACTGGTGGGAACGTCAAACAGCGTCGCCGTCCTTTGCGCCGAGGCTCCGTTCGCCCGCTTTAAACATACAGTTTGACCCATTGTAGAAACTTCATGAGTCGCTCCACACGGAGCTACTTTCTTGGTAAACTTCAGCTGGATTGGGGAATTGTACTTATTGTTGACTGCAACCCTGTAAAAGTGTTTCAGTTGGGTGAGTGTTTTTTTTACAGTTATCAGGTGGAAAAGATGACAGGTTGCCATGTTTGTGCACAAAGTCTTTAAAGGCAAAGTGTCTCTATTTAGTGTTTATGGTGGAAACATTAGTTATATAAAGGCTCAAAATGTTGCTAATTGCATGTGGCAGATAGACAACTTCATATACTTCTTTAAAATTTTTTGTAACATTGGTGTTGTTACAGATTGTCTGCAATATGCAATCACGAGTTTAAAGTGATTATAACTTAATTGTGCCTGTAATATATAGCACTGCATACATGCATCTCCCTGTGTGTATTACACAGTGAGGTATAAAGTCTTCTGTGCATTACAAAGCTGCACCAACATCCGTTTGAGAACTGTAGCGTTTCTTTTTCCTAAGGGAAGCTGTGAAAGAATCCTCTTCTTATTTTTTTCTGGTCCATGTTTGCAGCGCTTCATGGCATCAGGGTTTGTGTGTGTGTGTGTGTGTGTGTGTGTGTGTGTGTGTGTGTGTGTGTGTGTGTGTGCAGACAGACAGAAAACAGAGGAATCCCCCATCCAGCACTACTCTGGGAAACACCAGGTCTGCATAGGCTACTCGGTCTGCTTCTACTCTTGCAGCCTTGCCAACTCCTATTAGGTCCGGTACGGTAACGCGGTGTGTCACTTCCACTGACGGGATGGCAGTGATCCTCACTTCTCAGGCTAGTAATAAACTCGGTTTGGTGACAGAAGGCCCCCGGTGGACGGGCTAGTCAAGGAGGCTGTGGCAGAAGCTTCCACTCTGAAAGTTTAGAGCAAGAAATGCCAATTATTCAACTTTTCTCCTTTTTCTCTGCTTTGTACAAAGCTTTTTGTGGTTCAACCTGCTTGACTCTGACACAGTAAAAAATACAAACAAGCCTTTTTAATTGTATGGGGGCCCTTCATTATAGGCCTTGTGAACACTTAAAAGGAAAACTTAACCCCAAAAATTACGATTTCTATATACAATATTCACCTTGTTTCTGTTACTTTGAATTCTTGAAGAAAACTTTGTTTTTCTCTCATGCTTCCAAGGTGAACAGAGAACCAAAAAACTTAAAAAATAGTCTTGATGAATTGAAGTAAATAGGGGCCACGTTTAACAACAGCAGAGCTATATCAAAAATCTGTTTCTCAGTGGTATGCCCACTACTTCCCAGACACATGCATGTTAACCGGATCTTTCAAAATAGATATTAGTTAAACATTCACAAAACTTTTCTTTGTTTTTTGATTCTTCGTTCTCCGTGGAGGCATGCGAGCAGTTTTCTTCAAGAATCCAAGGTAACATGGGGAGAGTAACCGATACATACTGTAAGTGCTCATCTTGGGGTGAAATATAGATTTAATGGCTAAACTCAATTGTTTTACAGTTCAGTTTGATGCTTTTAAGAACAAATAAAAGCTCTTACTCCATAAATAAAACAATTTAGCTACACTTCCCACTGTGTCCACAACATTCTCTGGTGTTGAGTCGTTCATGTGTTTGAATCCCTCTGTGTTGCATAAAGCATGGCTCAGCTAACAAAAGCAGTTTTGAAAACTTCTGAGTAATAAGTGTGAACTGTTCCCAAACTGTTGAGGTCATCCCGTGGTTCCCTCTCTATGTGCGGCTCACGGCTCGGATCATAGATGATGATGTGCTTATTTTAGAGTAGATTAACTGCCTTCTGACGGGCACCATTTGTGACAAATCAGTGTTGAATTCAGCACTACATAGATAGTTCATGAATATGAGCGCTGGAATAGAGCAGTTTGAGTTTGTAGTGGGGGGGTATGTTTACTTGTGGAGATGGCCTGCAGGCTAGCCAGCATCGATTGCCATGGGAAAGTATTCAGAGTGTCTTTGATGATATATTTGATCTGCCTACAAAACATTTTGGCAAACAGAATGTGTTGTTTTTGTGTCAAATTTGAGGGGCTTTGATTCCTTTGTTGATTCTATTTCTCGAGATCATGATTTCATATATTAATGATTAGCTTTGATTTCTGTGTTTCACAGAAATGCACTAACGAACCCACTCCAGAATGGATGGAGCTATGTGAAACCCATCACTTTGAGTTTGCAGCTGCAACTCTTATTTAACACATCATTTGGAACAAGAATCATTAGTCAAAGGAGGCTGTGCCCTTTGGTCTTTACTTCGCTAATTACTTTTAGAGAATGTGCTTTACAGAAAGTGGACTTTCCAACACACTCAGCTGCTACAGCATTATGAAGTGTTCAGCAGTTACACTTTAGGGTTGATTGCAACTGGGATTGTTGTAGCAATCGTCCCTACGGAGATAATCAGGGTCGCAGTAGAAATGAAAGCACTTGGGCAGGTTCCAGGTTGACGGCCTGCATAATGATTTAAAACACTGTACTGCAGCTGGTGTTAATGAGGAGTACATAGTCTTTATGTTAGGATAACTAGTATGCCGTAATAATTGGACTCTCGTGAGCTCAACTACCGAGCCAGATGTTGGTCTGCTTTCATTTTGTGAAATAAGTATCTGTCTGTCTCTCCTTCTGCTATTTTTTTGCAGAGTAGAGATGGTTCACAGGGGCAGAATGCACCAGAATCCTTGAAGATAATCTGAAGGCCTTGGGCGATACCTAAACTCTTTGGATATTTGCTCGTACACCAGGTGCCATGTCTGGTCTAAAAGCTGAAGTAACGCTGCTGAGGTGTGCATTCCTCTTTCTCTACGCGAGTGTCTGCTTGTGCCAGCGCGACTGCACCGGCACGGACTGTCCGCAGCTGGACAACTGCATCGAAGAAGTGCTGGAGAGTGGCGGCTGTTGCGCCTCGTGCCTGCAAAAGGGTTGCACGTGCGAGGGTTACCAGTACTACGATTGCATCAACGCTGGATTCAAGAACGGCAAGGTGGCCGAGGGGGAGTCGTACTTCGTAGACTACGGCAGCACGGAGTGCTCCTGCCCCGCGGGAGGGGGCCGGATCAGCTGCCACTTCATCAGCTGCCCCGATATGCCGCCGAACTGCATCGAGGTTTTAGAGCCGGCGGATGGTTGCATGCAGTGCGAGCGCGTCGGGTGCGTCGATGGCGAGCAAAAGTACGATGCCGGGCACTCCTTCCACATTGACCCCTGCCGGGTCTGCCATTGCCCCAACAAAGGAGGGAAGCTAATGTGCTACCCTGTCCCAGACTGTGACCCGCACCAGGTCCATAAACCAATGTTAGCTGCACCAACAGGCGAAGACACAACCAGCAGGCGCAACAGTTACCCCTACAGGTTTGACCTATTGGATCAATTCACCCCACCGCAACACCTTCCTCCCAATGGTAATCTTTCTCTCTTCAAACCATCGCCTTTGGATAAGGACGAGCCAGAAGAGTATGATTACGGTCCAGCAGACTTCCCAGAGACCTTCCCTCAATCTCTAGTCTTCCCCACACAGTCCTCCCCCTCCAACAAGGTCATCTCTGTGTCCCGAGGCTCTGACGGACCCGACCGAACCTCTGCCCGTCAGAGCTTCGACAGACATAGCAAGCTGGAGCTAAGAGAGCGACACGGAGTTCGTGTCCATCCTGCAGACAGGCAGGAAGTGACAGAAAGCCCCCTGAGAGCAGAGCAGAGTACCATCAGGCCACATGTGCACAAGGACGCCACTATTTCTTGGCAGCCCTCGCAGGGCCCAACAAGAGGACAAAGTGCCTCGTTCAGGGATCTGACAACCCAGACCGATTTGGAGAATCCATCGCATGCACTCAAGAGTTCAGATAGTGTCATATTTCCACTGAACCGAGGATCAGGGAGTGAAAAACATCCAGAGTATCCACATACAAGTCCAGAGAGCGTAGTTCATCATCAGAGAAGCTCTGAGACAAAGACACACCACCAAAATGCATCAGATAGTTCAAAGAGTCGGATCAACGTTAGTCATCCAGTGAGACATATGGACAGTCAAACCAATCAGCAGAGACGATCAGATACAGTGAATTTTCCGCTGTACATGCCAAAAAGCCCAGAGGGCCCAATTTATCCCCAGGCAAGTTCAAACGGTCAAAAAGATTTACAGGGGACGGTCGCAGCGTACAGTGAGGACGTGATGGAGGCAGAAGTGATGGAAGAGGAGGAGGAAGATATAGTAACATTTCATGGCGTCACTGGGCCCGAAGCAAGGGATGTCTTCTACAAGACAAAGTCAGCACAACAGGAGAGAAGCCATGCGGAGATGGAGAGCAGCAGTCCAACCATCAGCATCCAAAAGTCCACACCCGAGCCCAGCACCAGTTCCTCCAGCAGGCCGGAGTACCTCACAACCCCCATGGTCCACTACGTCACCACTTCCCAGCCGCCAGCGAGGGTCAAGCTGAATGAGAGCGAGCGCAGCAGAAAGCCAGTTCAGAGGCTGTTTAACCTTCACAGTGAAGACCAGGAGGAGGTGACGGAGACAGAGGAGGCGAGGAATGGCCGACCTGTCTTGCTTGTCAAACCTGATGGAGGTAAGTCAAGTTATTTTGAAGACTGTGATTTCTATTTCCGAATGTAATCCGTCTCAGTTACCAACATGAACTGACTACAGGTTTGTTAATACAGTACATTGTCAATTTACTGTTGGCATATGGAAAGAGATTTTTTGAATATACCTCTACATTACAGTACCTGCCCCAAAAATTAGGAATAACGATATTATTAGTTAATAACTTAGAGCAAGGGTATCGTGGCTGCTTAACCCCAACATTTCTTATCTTTTATTTGAGCTTGACTGACATGTTGATTGAAATAGCAGTATTGAAATGCCAAACTAGGTTTGGGGTCACTATTGCATCGATTGTTGAATTTTTACACTGTAAAATGTCCCACTCACTACATGTCTTGGTCACAATATAAATAGGTTAATATGATTATGACCTGTGGTAAGGAGATGATTTTTAGTTGCGGTTGTTCCGGTTGTTCTTGTTCTGGGTGATGTTTGCCTCATTATGTCCTCTTGTCAGGCAGGAGCTGGGCTCGGTTAAGATGTAGGAAAATAGATGAGGTAGTTCTGCAGTAAATTAAATTCAAAAAAAATATTTGGTGTGCTCATTGGAATGGATGGGTGCCCATAGATAGATTGAGGTGTCAGCAGTAACTTAGAGATCTTGCATTACTGGTTTGTTAATTATTTAGTGTGAATTTGGATGCTTGCTCAGTTTAGCTCTCCCTAAACGTACCTGAGCTGGTGGTAGGTTCCAGTCTGAGGCTGAGGAGGGGAAAAGTCATCCTCTTTTTTCTAAAACTATAATTGACATCATACACAAACTTTTTTGTAACTTTTCTGTCATGGATGATTGAAATTCAAATATTTTACTGTCCCAGAAGAAAACAGGTGCAATGTATCTTTTTAACAACACACCTAATGGCATTTACATCAAAACTACCACACTGGATCAGGATTTTATAATACCCAGCCGACCCCTTATGAGAGCCGATCTGCACCGCCCAACCTGCAAAAGTATACATTAATCAACCACCCGAACCCGACCCGCATACAAGCAACTTTTTGGATCACGGCCATGGCCAATCAGCTGACAGCAGGCCAATCAATTGGTGCATCTCTATTTGGTGTTCTTTTTCCTTGTAATTTAGTTCGCTGCTATGCGATCCCATTGCAGCATAAGTAAAGGTTCATGCCATGAGATTGGGATACAAACAGCACTTACTTGTGTGGAATGCTGTAGCACTTCATGAATCTTAATTATATCGCTTCAGCTCTGAGAAACTATTTCCGCACCCCTTTTTGAATGCTACATAAATCATTTAAAACGTGGTCCTCCTAATGTTTAGCTATACAGCATTGTGCTTACAGAACAGTGCTCCCTTTCTCTGTCCGGGTTCCAAATACCAAGCCAGGCTATATGTCATGAGCGCACAGGAGGAAGTGGAGACGCCCGCCGGTCCCCAGGTATCTGAACCGGAACATAAATAGCGAGCCCAGGGTCTGTCTGGAGCAGGGAGTCAAACGTCTCCTCCCGTGGTGAACATCCTCACAACAGTCTCATACCAGTCACCACCATCCCTCACTCAGCACACAGGGCCTGGCCGCTGTTTTACTGCACGTTGCCTCAACCCTCCCCGAGGAGACGGACACGGGACCTTGAGGATCTGGATTCGGTTATAAATCCTCTCTGGCCTCCGGCCTTTCAGATGGTTTTATTTCAGAAGCAAGTCGTAGATTTACACGTTTTCATTTGAGAGATTTCGAAACTACGTGTCTGTTAGCATCCCGATGTCTCAGGTGTCCATCAAACGGTGTGGGCGCTACCCTGACGTCTGCGTCTTGGATTCTCTGTTGGGAAAAAATAAACTCCAGTTTCCATAGGTGCCGCCTTTTTTTCAGTCATACAGTATAGGAGCCATTCCTGCTCATGCCAAACACACAGTTCTTCTCTTTACTTCAAAGACAGTGGAAAAGTGAAACACATCTGTTCCTGTGCATTTAATTCACAACAGCAAATATTGACTCACAGATGTGTAAAACTGACGCAATAGCGCTGCATAAAGGACATTTATTTAGTTGGAAACGTCATGGACTGCTATTTAAACAGTTTGTCATTGCACTTGATGTGGGATAGCTGAGTTATTTGATCCATTTCTGATGCATATGAAATGGCTTTTAAAAGGCGTAGTGTGCAATGCAAGGCAGTAGCAGATCCAGATGTTGGTGCCATAGAGGGTGTAGATGTATAGAGGTAGACTACAATGTAGACTAACACACCGGGCACAATAACAGCAATACCTGTACAGTGTGATGTGACCACTGCATACGTATATTTATATCTTTTTATATATATCCATTCAAACAATTTTTTTGGGAGGGGAGATATAATATTGAAGGCATTTGTATAGTGGAAATAATTTGTTGATTCGTTTGGAATAACAGCTAAACTTACTTTAGACACCTAAAAGAAAGGCTGACCTAAAAATATATATATCAGTTTAAGTGTACGCTATATTTAGAATACATAAGTCCGTTTACTTTGCCATGAGACTAAACGGTCTTTGTTCCCAATGGGGGACTTAGGCCATCATCTATGCTCTCACCAAAGCCAAGAACGTCAGCCTCATACATGTAGGAGGTATTGCAGGACTGTGTTATATTGCACTAGATTATACAGCTGTTGCTTTGCAGCGTGTAAAGCTCTCCATTAAAATGACTTCATATGATACATGTACACTCAACACATTTAATCAAATCGCTCTTTAAATAGAACACGTAGATGATAAAGTTACCAAGTTGTTCATCAATTAGGAGGCTGGTCTTAATCGATTAATCTTTTGATGAGATAATATAATTACATAATCACTGTGTGTCACGTTAGATTTTTTCTCAGGCCATTTGCACATTAGTGATAAATAGGCCAGTGGACTGGCTGCTGGATCATGACCTGGGGCCTCATTACAGAAACTTTTAAAATCTTATTTCAGTTCAGGATGTCAGATTTTATGTATTACAGAATCATGTTTCCTCATTGCATTTAGAAGAAAATTCTATCTTATCCTCAGATAGGGATTGAGCTATTACAGAACCGTCCTGAATTAGTACGTTTCCAAGTTAGGAGTCCAACATTTATTTCTTTGCTAAGGGTAAGACTTGCAGATCTGTCAGCGACCTGTACCATGGATGTCTAAAGGGAAATGGATGAAGCGTTGGAGGCGGCGCCCAGTTCATTCCTATGAAAGCTCAGTGGTGCATGAGGCAAAAAAAAAGTGAAACTTCTGAGTTTAGAATTCAGATGAAAATACCTGGATCTTCCGCAGTATGGGGCCAATGGAGCAATCGCAATAGCATTTCGGTCAGCCCTCGGTCCAGCCTCGTCCTCATTCACATGAATGGACGAAGGAGAATAACTCTGGATATTAGTGCGTTTTTACAACCGGACACTATAATTTCAACAAGGGCTATTCATGAGTTTGTACAAGGAAGCTGATTTACCTAAAAAAAAAAGATGATCCTCTTATTTACAGATGTCTCTTTCCCAATCTAAGTCTATGGGAAAGAGTGTTGGCAGACCTTGAAATTGTAATTCCAACGTTTGGCCTCGATGTCAAATGGCTTTAAAGGCCTCAATTTATATGTTTCCCTCAGCTCCAAACATAGATACAGGCACGGCAGGACAAGTGCTGATTAAAGAATCAAATACACAGTTATACTTAGGAGTTCTTGGGCCCATTTGTGCCCTAAGACTATAATTAGAATGAGCTGATTGGTCTAAAGTCAAAAAATCTGCTACAGACATACTTTGGGCAAGTATCCAATGGTACAACTCTCTTGGATGACATGGAAAATCATACTTAGTCAAAGTTAGGATTTTTGAAAAATTAGGAAAGATATTCCATATGAATTGTTACATGTTCATGCATGTATACAGTATGTTATTCATCTTGTTATGAGTTAATAGATAATACAAACTTGATTGTGCTTTTTCTTAGAATATAATGAAATATATAGAAAAAGCTGTTGTCCAATGTGCACAAAGACTAGATATATAGTATGATAAGAAAAACTCACTTTTCAACCAAAAATGTCTTCAGTTTTGTGCTGAGGCAAGCCCAGACAACTCTTCCACCAAAGGAAATTCAAAAATGTCAGTTGCTGGCACAAATGGGAGGTCTGAGATTTAGGAATTGCCTTTGTAATAGGAAGAAAGAATGTTTCCAATCTTTTCAAACTGAAGTGTAGATAGGACAAGCAGTTGGTATATTTTTCTGTAATGATGCCCCTGATCCAAAAGTTTCTTCCCTAAAAAATGTCACATCGCTGTGTCCTCCACAGCATATGCAGGAGGATAAGCTGAGGAGGAGTTATCTGTTGCAGCGGCTGGGTGGCTCTTACTCCACATAAACAGCTTGCTCTCCAGATAGTGCCGACAGGTGGAGATAGAGGGGAGGGCCGGGTAAGGCCTCACTCCAGGCCGGTGATAATGAAGTTTATCAGTTCTGATGACACATCGCTTTAGGAAAGCACCAGCAAAGCATGTAGGATTTGGCAACTCTTAAACATATGAAACAAATGGCTCAAGTTTTGTTTTTTTATATATACTGTATATATAAAATTGTCTTGTGGTAATCTGTTTGAAGATTAGGAAAGGTTTGTCTCAAACATTATCTGCTAGAAATACACCTGGTTTACACCTGGTTTTGCCATGCTTATTACTGTATTATAAGATACTCCTCTTTGATGTCAATCAAAATGTAATTATTTTAACATATTCAAAACTGGGAAATCATTAGTGCTGACATGGATGCATATCAGAACTCTACAAGTTCCAGTTAAACTAGACACCTCCATTCCACCTCTCAGTTTCTCTGCCTGAGTGATGTCAAATTGGTTTTCACTAAAGCTGCGATGAATAGTCAATTAATTGGCAACTATTTTGATTTGCAGTTCATTGTTAAAGTCATTTTTTAAGCAAAAGCACCAACCATTTGACGGTTCCAGCTTCTCAAATGGGATAATTGG